ACAGAGCCAGGCCCTGAGTCCAGATGGGCAGTATGGGGCCTTGGCTTCAGGTAGGTGTGTGCCTCCCTCTACATCTGCCTCCTGGAGCCTGCCCCGCTGGAGAGCATACTTGGCTGCTGCAGTTCTCTGCTATATCAACCTTCTGAACTACATGAATTGGTTCATCATCCCAGGTAAGGAGAGAAGGGGTGGCCCAGGGTGGTATATTCAGGTATTCCCCACCCTACAAGCCCATGACTGTGCACCCATGGTGGCCTTCCTCCCAGCACCCTCTCTTCTCTTGGAGCACATCTCTGGTGGTTTCACTCCTGTAAGTGGCCTCCAGCCTGTCCTGAATGGTCCCAAGCCAGAGTGGGGCACAATGTGTGGGGCAGGGACATTAGGAGGTAGTTGGATGGAATTGTGCTCTGTAGCAAAGGCCTCAGATTGAGGATGGAGCTGCAGGCAAGGTTATGAAGGGAAGGACAGCTTGGCTCAGCTCCCAAGTGAGAATGGCTCTTCCTGGGCTGTTTCTGGGGCAGCTGGCTGCTGGCCTACCTTGCACAGTTTGCCTTCCTTCTTGTAGGAAACAGGGCACAACCTGCTTCTGTCTTCTGTCACTCACTTATGTATTCCTTTGTGACTGGGATCAGCTTGATTTTCTAGTCACTCACTCATTCATTCCTTCATCTTTCCATAGTCAACCCGAATTGTGTGTGTGTGTGTGTGTGTGTGTGTGTGATACATGTTCATAAGTGTGTGTGTGGAGGTCAGAGAACCACCCTGTGGAGCCAGTGCTCTCCTTCCACCTTTATGCGAGCTCCAGGGATTGAACTCAGGTCACCAAGCTTGTTCAGCAAGTGCCTTCACAAGCTGAGTCATCTTGGCAGCCCTCTTTTCTTTTTTGAGGCAGGGTTTCATGTAACTCAGGCTAGATTCAAACTCACTATGTAGCTGAGGATGCTCTTGAGCTACTGCCATTGCCTTCTGAGAGCCAGGATTATAGGCATGCCACCACATTGATTTATGTAGTCTTAGGGATTGAAGTCAGGGTTTTGTGCATGCTAGGCAAGCATGCTACTGACTGACATCCCCAGCCTCTTTCATTTTTTTTTCTTTCTTTGTTTTTGAGGGTCTTATGAAAGACCAGGTTGCTTTTGAATTCACTATGTGGTTGAAAATGATCCTGGCCGGGTGTTAGTGGCGCACGCCTTTAATCCCAGCACTCGGGAGGCCGAGGCAGGCAGATCGCTGTGAGTTCCAGGCCAGCCTGGTCTCCAGAGCGAGTGCCAGGATAGGCTCCAAAGCTACACAGAGAAACCCTGTCTCGAAAAACAAAACAAAACAAAACAAACAAAAAGAAAAAAAAAAAAGAATATGATCTTGAACTCACAATCCTGCCTCTGCCTCCCAAGTGCTAAGATTACAGATGTGACACCATGCCTAGTCAACCTTTCATTTTCTTCATCCACGTTTCAGATTGAGCACTGTGATCAGGAGCCTCTGGTAGGACACAGGAGAAACTCAGATGTGTGGTTCCAATGGCCGGGACTATTGCCTTAAGGGGCACAGAAATAACAACCATGTAAGGCAGGGAGGTGGGGAAGGGCTGATGGTGCAGATGAGGGGGCTCAGGCCAGGCTGGGAAGCCTCCTTGAGTAACTGCATCTGCCGACCATGCCCAAAGCCAGGATGTTGAGCATCAGTTATGTGTTTAGAATAGCCAGGAACCTCTGTGGAATGAACTGGAGTCTAGGGCTGCAGACATCACCAGAGCAGGACTGTGTCTCTGAGGAGCTCAGAGGGACATGGAACATGTGCCCAGTTTGTTCTGGTGTGGGACAGAGTGGGGTGAGTGCTAGCAGATCAGCCCTGAGGATGAATGACTAAAAAACTCACACACAGGGACCGTTTGGCCTGGGCCTTGGGGACGGAGATGACTGGAAGGGCAGGGATTATAGAGATATGAGTCCAGGTAGGTAAGGGTAGTGATCAGAAGTGCCAAGAGGGAGAGAAAGCAGGAAATAATTTCCCAAAGGATGTTTGGCGCAAGATCACAGGCTTTTTGAGTGCCAGCCTGGGAGCTTGTACTTTCTTGTCCAGGCAATGGGGAACCATGGGAGAGAACCGTGAGTGGAAGAATATAATGGGATTTGGACCCTCGAAAGACTCAAGATGAGCTGAGGAGGTCAGTTCAGAGGTTACCAAAGGGGATCAGGCTGAAGGTGACAGGCCAGAACCTTGGTATGGGCTGAGAGGCTGGGAGGAATGGGAGGGGTGAGAGGCACAGAGCTGCTAGGAAGCACCACTGTGCAGCCTTCTGAGGCTTAGCCCTAAATGTAGCTCTTTCTGCCCTGTGGGCCCCCATTGGGGCTGTCAGACTCTAAGACCTGCATGCCAGGGTCACTTCCCCCTTGGGACTTCCATTGGTTGTGGTCACAATGGGGACGACCTGGAGAAGTGAAACTATGCAGGGGCTCTTGGGGACTGTTGGAGCCAGGCAGTGGTGTAGCCGCTGAGATTCTCCTGTGGGAAGAGCTCTTAGGAAGACCAGGGTGTTAGAAACTAGAACTGGCTTCACCTTTGGTCTTGGGCTATCCACAAGGTTGAGAAGATCACAGGAGACAGATCAAGGGGACTCTCCTAAAAATGGAAAATGAGTACACTCAGAGGACTTTAGGCAGCTATTTTCCTTGCTAACTTATGGTGCATATTTTTCTTTCACTCCAATGATTATGCCATCTGGTGTCATTAAAAGATAAGAAAGGGCTGAGGATGTAATTAAGTTGGTAGAGTGCTTGTTTGGCATGCAGGAAGTCCTGGGTTCCATCCGCAGCACCCCATAAAACCAGTGGGGTGGCACACTCCTGTAATCCTACTACTTGAGATAGTCAGGAGGATTACAAGTTCAAGGTCATCCTTGGCTACATAGAGAGTTTAAGGCCAACTTAGACTCTGAGGATTTTTTTTTCCCTCAAAATGATAATTTTTTAAAGTAAAACAGATATACAGCTGTGTGTGTTTGGCTGTTATGGTGATTGGGCTCAAACTAGATGAATAAATAAACTCTCCTGCCTGGTGCCTTCCGTTCTTTGATCTTCATTCACTGGCTACTGGATACCATATCAGAGGAGTGGATGTAGGGCTTCTTGGGGGGGGGCATGTGGGGACTCTTGCTCCCCTCTGTGATGCTGGATGGGGGAGCTGCTTCTGTCAGAGTCTCAATCCTTGCTCCTCTCATTCCAGCTGGACAGTCTTGGGCAGGTGGAGTCTGTGTGTCAGGCACAGTGATGGTCCCCTCCCCCTCTTTTTGAGACAGGGTTTCATGTAGCTTAGGCTGGCTTTGAAGTCTGCTGGCCTCAGACTCCTGATCCTCCTGTCTCCACCTCCTGAAGGCTGAGATTGTAGGTGTGTGCTGCCATGCTGACTTTGGTGTACATTTAGTAGGGACATGTTTCCGGCTTTTGCCGCTGTTGCTGCCATCGTTGTGTGGTTGTACATAGGCAAGGGTAGGTGGAAATGAGGACCATGGGCCCAGCTGCCCTGTCCTGTGCTGTGCTGCTCATCTGGGCCTGTCCCAGTCTCTGAGGAAGCAGCCTTGGAGGCCACGTGGGGGGTTACTTCCCATCAACGCTGTCTATCTGTCCCTAGGAGTGTTGCTGGATGTCCAGAAGTATTTTCACATCAGTGACAGCCATGCTGGTTTGTTGCAGACAGGTAAGGAACCAGTTCTGGACCCTGGAACAAGGGCTCTTTGTTATAGTGTGGTGGTTTCTATAGCTAGCTCCAGACCCTTAGTCTTCTGCAGGAGAGAGCTGGGGCTTGACTAGGCCCTGGAGCTGGGGAAGGCTCCTGAGTGTTCCTAGTTTCCATCCTACTTGTGGCTCAGCTGAGTATTCCACAGAGAAGCAAGAAATCCCAGTGTGAGCTTTTCTCTCACAGAGCTGAGAAATCTGACTAACAGGACTCATAGACAGGTAGACATAGACCTTGGTCCTCAGGAGGCCTCAGAAGGGCTCTGGGCCACAGAGAATCTACTAAATCAGCACCAGGGAGCAGCCGCACTCCATTCCAAGGGGCTGGTTTATGACATCATGAAACATAGGTAGGCTTAAGTGATACACACCTACATGTATGCACACAGGGATGCACATGGTCACAGCATACAACACCACATGTACACTGTGGCTCCTTTCTGCAGCCTGCCCCCCCCCCCAATTGCCCATTGTCATAGTTTCGAAGCAGGTTCTCAAACTAGGTACACGGAGCCGGACTTTTCCTGGACTGTGTGAACAGTCCTGAGAGATCTATTTCAGTCTGCCTGTTGTTTTCCTAACATGATCAGTCTGGAACAAACCTGTGCCTGGAGGGTTGGTCCCCTTTGTCATTGTCTCCCACCCTTACCCTACTCCTGTACTGTCCACTGTATGTCCACTATCTGAAATGGAAAGGATTGCTACATCTGTATGTTCCTCTCTGTAAAACTTGAGGGTACCAAGCAAAGGGGCTTGCTATGGCTTCTGCAGGGAGGCCCAGGGCACAGACAACTTAGTCATAGAAATGCTTCTATGTCTTCCCACCAAGCCACTCACCCCTGGCGAGGAGCCAAGCCTTATCTAACCAGCCCTGTTCGTGACTGCTATTTATCTATGAAATCAACTTCAGAAACGAGATCATGATCTCTGGGATAGGTATTAATACACTGCTTTTGATTTTTACAAGCCACCAGTTTCCTCACAGTCTGATTTGACGGGTTAGTTTGGCAAAGCAGGGCTGACTTTCCCACTTGGGTTCATGGCAGGCCTTTCCCATAAACTGAATGAACTCCATCTGCCCCTTAGAGTGTTTGATGGAAATACTGTTTACAAAAATAAAATCATCCCTCTGTCTTCTGGGGACCAGTTCCAGGATCCCTGTAGATGGTCAGTCCGAAAAGGCTAAGAGTTCCAGGCCAGTCTGGCCTACTTAGTGAGTTCTAGGCAGCCAGTATTACATAGTGAGACAGATCCTGTCTAAAATGAAAAGGCATAGTGTCTGGGTGTAGTAGTCCATGACTTTAATCCCAGCACTTAGGAGGCAGAGGCAGAGGCAGAGGCAGAGGCAGGTAGATCTCTGTGAGTATGAGGCCAGCCTAGTCTACAGAGAGACTTCTAGGATAGCCAGGACTACATACAAAGACTTTATCTCAAAAAAAAAAAAAAAAAAAAAAAAAAAAAAAAAAAAAAAAAAAAAAAAAAAAAAAGAAAAGAAAAGAAAAAAAAAAGAGAAAAGAAAAGAAAAAAGGCATAGTGTTTGCAGATCCCCTAATACATCTTCCTCTAAAATCAGGTCATCTCCAGATGACTTGGGGTAGCTAACACAAATCTATGTAAACCATTGTCACAGTGTTTCATTTAAGGACTAGTAAAAAGGAGAAAAGTCTGTACAAGGTCAGTGGACAACTTCAGACAAAAGGTTTCATTTATTTATTTTTATTGACATGTATTTTGTTTTGCTTTTTTTGTTTGTTTATTCAAGACAGGGTTTCTCTGTGTAATAGCCCTGGCTGTCCTGGAGCACTCTCTCTCTCTCTCTCTCTCTCTCTCTCTTGGTTTCTTGAGTTTCAAGACAGGGTTTCTCTGTGTAGTACTGGTTGTCCTGGAACTGTCTCTGTAGACCAGCCTGGTCTCAAACTCACAGAGATCTACCTGTCTCTGCCTCCCAAGAGCGCTGCTGAGATCATCAGTGTGTACCACCATGCCTGACCATGCCTGGATTTAATTATTTTAAAATATTTATTATTACCTTATGTGTATGAATGTTCTACTTGCATGTGTGTATGTGTACTGTGTGTATGCCTAGTGCCCTTGGATGTGAGAAGAAGGCATTAGAGCCTCTGGGACTGGAGTTCTGAGCTGCCTGATGTGGGTGCTGGCAACTGAACTAGGGTTCTCTACAAGAACAAGAAGTGCTCTTAACACTGCCCCATCTCTCCCAGAGGTGTTTATTTGTTTTGAGATAAGGTATCATGTAACTCAGACTGGTTCTGAACCCACCAAGCAGCCAAGAATCATCTTGAATTCTTGATCCATCTGCTTCTAGTTTCCCAGAACTGAGCCTGCAGATATATATTCCATGCTTGGCTAGTAAAAACGTTTTAAATGTCAACTGAAAGCATATGAAGGAATAAGTAGTTCTAGAGGGAGTGAAAACAACACAGATTTATGATAACATTAGTGAACTGGGACTGGTGGCACATGCTTCCGGAGGCAGAGGCAGGCAGATTCTATGAGTTGGAGGCCAGCCTGGTTTACATAGTGGGCTGCAAGCCAAATAGGGTTGCACAGGGAGACTCTGTCTAGAACAGATGAAAACAAATAAAACATCATCACAAGGGTTTGTAGTGTATGCTTGTAATCCCTGGGAAGTCGAGGCAGGAAGAAGCGTCAACGTTATCAGCTACATAGGGAGAGAGAGGCTACCTGGGCCTCAGATCATTTGTTCAATGAGATACCATTTGTTTTTCATTAGACAGATGAAAATGAAATTCTAGCTCATATCAGTTGGTGACAAGAGTTCTAACAAGCACTTCTGTGCAAGTGTAAACTGATACAGCCTTTTTGGAGCCCTATTTTGGCAGTAGCTATTAAAATTTTAAACGCTGTCAACACTGGAGATCACTCTCTGTGGAGTATTAGGTTGAACCATATTAAATTGCTGGTTTTGTAGGTCAAAAGTGGCCTAATTTCCACAACTGCATATTGCTTTACCTAGTACTACAGCAGGTCATGGGAGAGTGGGAGCCTGAGCTGGGGCCTGAGCTGGGCATTCACTGGGCTCAGGAAATGTCAATCATCTATGATCACACAATGGTGTCCCAGGTTTTAGACAGAGCCCTCCTAAGTCTTGGCCCTTTGATGGTGGGTAAGGTGAAGAGGGGAGGGGTTTTTAGTCCTCTACCTGCTAGCTCTCCTGACAAGGAAGGAGGATATTTTATTTTAGAGACATACATCATGCATGAGTTAATACATGTGCTACACAGTTGGGCAAACCCAAAGCCAAGTTGTCTTTGTTCTTAGTGAAGAGCAAACACAACACTAATGAGTGCTTTGTATAGTTTTAGCTTTTAAAAATATTATTATAGGCTGGAACAATGACTCATCAGTTAAGAGCACTGGTTTGGCTGGGTGGTGGTGGCTCACGCCTTTAATCCCAACACTTGGGAGGCAGAGGCAGGCAAATCTCTGTGAGTTTGAAGCCAGCCTGGTGTACAGAGTGAGTTCCAGGACGTCAGGGCTGTTACATAGAGAAACTCTGTCTCAAAAAACCAAACCAACCAAACAAACAAAAAAACCCATACACACAAAAATAATAAAAGTTTTTTAAAATTAAAAGAAACATTTTTATTGCATTTAGTGTGTGCATGTGTGTGTGTGTGTGTGTGTGTGTGTGTGTGTGTGTGAGAGAGAGAGAGAGAGAGAGAGAGCGCGAGTAAGTCACAATGTGACTGTAGAGTCGGAGGACAACTTGTACAAGTTGATTTTGTGGTTTCAACACTGGAGGTCCTGGGGATCAACCTCAGATCTTCGGGCTTGGTGGGAAGCACCTTCAGTCACTGAGGCATCTCAGCTGGCCCCTTGTTTTTGAGACAAGGTATTGCTGTGTAACCCAGGTTGCCCTTGAACCTCTGGTCCTTTTTCTCAGCCTCCAGAGTTCTGGAATTACAAGCACCATGCCTGACTTGATGCAGATGTAGCTCATTTGATAGATGCTTGTGTAGAATGCACAAAGCCCTGGGTTCTTTTGCATTGCCTAAAAATGGAGTGTGGTGACATACACCTGTAACACCAGCCGTCAGGAGGTAGAGACAGGAGGAGAATCAGAAGTTCAAGGTTATCCTTGGCTACATAGCAATTTCAAGGCCAGCAGCTTAGGATACATGAGATCCTGGTTAATACATAGTTGTCAATGTGGAGAATAGTGTGTGCCCTGAGGCACACCAGCTCTTCCCCCAGCCTCCTGCATCATCGGTTTGTAGTCCATGCCCTTGTTTCTGGTTCCTCCTCTGCTGGTCCAAAGGCCTGGCCTCCCTTGCCAGCAGCAAGTGTGTGATCAGTTCCCATACCCACACTCACAGAAGCCATGCATTTGTGCAAAGGCTAGCATCCACTCTGTGCTGGCTGCTCTACATCCCTTTTATGCTCTCCTTCAGGAGAGTGTCAGCTTCCCAAGACTAGGGTGATGCTCAGAGGCCACACAGTAACATAAATCAGACTTGAGATTTGGTCCATGCTTGGTGTCCTATACTCTGGGCTGTGGGTTGTATAATGGATCAGGAATGGAAGACTCAACTTTTATCTCTTCCTTCCTTGTCTTGCCCTGGGCCCACTGCCAAGGTGCCAGCTTGTGGCATCTGTGCCAGGCCTCTTCCTGGGCCGGCAGGGCTGTCTGCCCAGCCACCCTCTTGGAGGATCCAGGCTGCCCCTTGTGTGTCTCCTCCAGTCTTCATCGGCTGCCTGCTGGTGTCTGCGCCTGTGTTTGGCTATCTGGGTGACCGCCACAGCCGCAAGGCCACACTGAGCTTTGGGATCCTGCTGTGGTCAGGAGCTGGCCTCTCCAGCTCCTTCATCTCCTACCAGGTAGGGCCCACATCCCTGCCTAGTCCCTGGGACCTTCCCCATCTGCTTTCTCCCTGATCCAGTTGCCTCAGAGTTCCCTTCCAGCCCAAGCCAGCTCAAGGATTGTACTGCCAGAGCCAGGAAGGGAGCTGTGGTACAGCCTCTAAGCCTGAGTAGGGAGGCTGTTAGAAATGTTTTGCTTTTGTTTTTTTTGAGGCAGGGTCTCACTCTATAGCACTGGATGTCCTGGAACTCGCTTTGTAGATCAGGCAGGCCTACAACTCATAGAGATCTGCCTGCTTATGTTTCCAGAGTGCTGAGATTAAAGGTGTGCACCACTAAGCCTGGTTATTGTTTTTGAAACAGTGTCTTGCTCTGTAGCTCTGGTTGGGTTGGACTCTTCATGTAGAAGAGGCTGGTGTTGAACTCTCAGAAATCTGTTTCTGCCTCCCAAGTGCTGAAATCAAAGGCATGTACCACCATGTCCACCTGGCTCATTAGATTTTCTTTTATTTTTATTTATTTATTTAACTTTATTTTATGTACATTTATTTTATGTACTCCCTTGGAACTTGAGTTACAGGCAGTTGTGAGCTGCCATGTGGGTATTGGGAATTGAACCTGGGTCCTTTTGAAGAACAGCCAGTGCTTTCAGTGCTTTTAAACACTGAGCCATCTTTCCAGACTCTTTTCAATGTTTTTTTGAGACTGGGCTTCCTCTGTGTTTTGTTTTGTTTTTTCAAGATGGGGTCTCTCACTATATAGCAATGGCTGTCCTATAACTCACTTCGTAGACCAGATGGCCTCTGAACTCAGAAATCCACCTGCCTCTGCCTCCCAAGTGCTTGGGATTAAAGATGTGTGCCACCACACCCAACCCCGCCCATTACACTTTCTGAACAGGAGGCTTCCTGGCCCTCCATTTCACTTCCTATTTTGGTGGGCTCTTCGGGGTTTGGGGGAGGTTGGCGTAATATCTTGGGAAACTGCCCTGGCAGGCAGAGAGCCAAAAGAAGGGTTTCCCTCTGTTCTGAGCAGGCAGTGACTGTAAGCACCAGTAGGCCCACCCATATAATTTTGGGAATCTGGAGTCTCTAAGGACCTTTGTCATGAGGTCCCTTTAGGCCCTCTGACACATCCTCTGGCCCCTTGTCCCATGGAAAATTTCTGGATCTCACCATCGCCTTGTGCTGGTTTATCCAGTATTCCTGGCTCTTCTTCCTGTCCCGGGGGGTCGTGGGCGCTGGTGCAGCAAGTTACTCCACCATTGCACCCACTGTCCTGGGTGACCTCTTCGTGAAGGATCAGCGGACCTGTGTACTGGCTGTCTTTTACATCTTCATCCCTGTTGGAAGGTTGGTATCACTCCTGGACCCACTTCCTCAAAGGTAAACTGAGGCTGAAGGAATCAGAACAGGGGCTGTGCTGGGGGTAGGAGAGATCAAACCAGGAGGGCTGAGATCTGAATCCCATCACTGCTCCTTCCTTCCCCATCACTGCGTGTCTCTCTGAGCCTTTTCCCTTGGCTATAAATGGGGACAATGCTGCCACTCAATAGGCTAGGTGGAGGTTATATGAGAACTATGCTTCTGAAGGAAATCATAGTTCTAGAAGGGGTGAGTGGCCCACTGGGAAGGGCAGCCCAGGGAGACCAGCGAGGAAGTGTGCTTTGCAACCTTATGGGGGAGGTCCTCATTTCCTGAACCTGCCTGACTCAAGCAGGGCTGGGTTTTGGACACTAGGGGTGGGGTTGGTGATGGGATTTGCAATTCCTTATATGGAGGGAATGGCACAGGGCCTGGGCTAGGAGCCAGAGGTCACTAGGAGTCTGACCAAGGGCAGCATAAAACTGGGCTTTTCTCAGGGAATGGGTTCTGATGCTTGGAGAACTGGACCAGGGCAGGGGAGCCAGTTCTCTGCAGTCAGACTGGCCGTGGGCCCTGCCTCCACCCCTCACTGCTATCTCTCTTACCCCATTGTTGCAGTGGTCTGGGCTACGTGCTGGGGTCAGTTGTGGCTGAGCTAACAGGGAACTGGCGTTGGGCCCTCCGAGTGAGTTCCACTTCCTTTTTGTCTCTGCCTTACCCCCTGGGCGGGCTGGGACTTTCCAGTCTCCTGTGGCCTTAGCCACTTGGCATCGTA